GTGAGCCCCCCTCGTTCGCCCTGCCCGACTTGCCTCGACTGCCTTCCCGAGCGAGGCCGGCAGGCGAGTCCGATTTCGAACCGCGGCTGACGATGCCGTCGCAGCCGCTGCTACTAGGATGCGGCGCCCCGCCTCCCCACCTCCTGAGCCTAACCCACCGCGTAAGGCTCGTCGGGTGGCCCCCCGTGGGGGCTCCTGCGCGCCGAGCGCTGCGCCTGAGCGCGAGCTGCCCGCGTCTGGCGATCTCACCCCTAATGCTGCCAGGGGCCACCTTCTCTCGGTCGCCCCTGGTAAAGTTGTGATATGTATGGTGTGCGGAGGCATCTCTACGGGGCGATCGTCGCCCCTGTGGGGGCAGGCGCAGGCCAGTCGCAGGCTCGACACCAACGTGGTCAACGGCGCCATCAGGAACAAGGGCGTGGAAGAGGAGAAGGGTTATCAGCAGTTGCAGGAGCAGGAGTTGTGTACAGTTCCCAGTTGTAGTGTTGGAGACTTCCTGAAGCAGCTGGGGCGCGAGGAGGTGAGCGAGCTCATCCTCGAGCCGGGCGCAGGCGTCACCGTGGAGGAGTTCACCCACTGGGCGTCGACGTCCTTCGCATCAGGGAGTTCGGCCAGCACGTGCTGATCAACAGGGAGGCGAGTCCTGAAGTTTCGGCTTCAGTGAGTCGCCAGGCCTGATGGCGTCGGGGGGAAGTGCAGCTTCGAGAGCTCTCGTCGGGCCTCCGCCTCGGCTTTGTTTCGAGCCCTGGGTCCGCCTGCCGCGCCGTCGGCACGCGAGGGGCTGCAATTCTCCTCGGGGCCGGGTCGGCGCGCGCGCCGTGCGTCGGCGAGGCCCGCGGAAAGACCCGCGGTCGCATAGTCGCTGCCGTCGCTACCCTCCCCCTCCTTTTCCTCTTCCTCCTGTTCGCGTTGCTTCGGCTTTTCCTGTCTCAGTTCGTCGCGCGCCGGTTCGCAGCGTTTTTCGGTCCGTCCACCGTCGGGCGCCTGCCGCCTCCTGGGCAGCGTCGCCCGTCCTTTGCCCCTCGCGCGTCAGAACGGACTCGGACCTTGGGCTCGAGCTGGCTAAGCTTAAGTCGGGCCTGTCCCTCGACAGGAGGAAGATTCAAACATATTCAAAAAATAGTCAGGGGGTGTTTGTCTGATTCATTGTTGACAATTTTGGAATACGCTTTGGACGTCGTTACTTTTTCGCCCGAGATTCAGGGGCGGCCAAACCGACCCCTAGCAAACCATACCCTTGCGTTGCGAGTTTTGCGTTTTCGAGGTCAATGCGGTTCGCGCGTGCGTTGGCTGCAGACTCGAGCAAAATGAATTGCCCACGCGCGAAGCGCTCTCGGGGCACGACCGGCGCCGCCCCAAAGGAATTCGCAAACAGAAGTCATGAAGTGCAGCAAGTGTGCCGCGCAGCTTCCTCGATCGAATCGGAATGCGTGCTTGTTTGGCGAAATTGGCGAAGGAGCAATGGGGGCATCGCTGCCATTCTTGCGCGTGCGTCTACAACGTGTTCAGATGCGGCACCATCGCATCTGCATCTTGGGGCGCGAGCGGCTTCGCAACTCGAGGAAACATATGATTGCCCGCTGACACTTTTCGGTGCTACTGTTGACTCGATCATCTTAACCACTCGCGTGCGTTTTGTGTTTGTCTCAGAATCAATGCTCGACAGTGGCCCCTCGCGGAAATTGCAGGGATTTGACAACAACTCTCCGTCGATTTCGGCTGACGCCCGGGGCCCCGCTTTCCTAGGTTACCGAGAATGTTAGGATATGCGGGGGTTTCCGGACGATTGATGCTGGCGGTCGGACTCCGGAGCTCGCGGTTTCCCTCGAGCGAGCTGGGCGAGGCCCCCCCCCGAAGCCGCAGCGAGGCTCCGAAAAAAAAGGTCTTCTGAGGCCCCCAGAAGAGCTCCGAGAGGGCTCCAAGCCGACCCCCAGTGGGCCCCAGGTCAAGGTGCACGGTGCATCATGCAACCGCAATGGCATGGCGGGGGACGTTGTTGTTCAGCACGACGCCGCGCCGCGGGGCAAACGGCAATGCATGCCACATCGAGGAAAACCTTGGCCTCTTGCTTCAAGGGAGCACGCGGAAACAATACGACGTCAAAGTGTGCATGCAAATGTCGCTTGCAGGAGCCTCCTTGGGACTCTTTCGGGGTTCTCTCGGGGCATCCTCGGGGCCTTAGGACAGCCCCAGCGCGGCCCAAGACGGCTCCAAGAGGGCACCGGCGTGGCCCACGCAACGGCCCAAACTCATGTTGCACCATGCATCCTGATGCGGGCCCTCCAAACATACATGTATTTGGACCCCTTCTGATGGGTGCCCTCTGGGGCGTTCTTTGGGGCCCTCAATGGGTTCGAGGGGGCTGTGGGTGGGCCTTGGGGAGACCCCCAGGGGGTCTCCAGGAGGGCTCCGGATGGATCCCCAGATGGCCCAGAGCCAAAAAGCATTTTGAATATTGGATTCGGGCCCTCTTGCCCAGTAGCTCAGTTAGATTAGGATTATAATTCTCCATTATCCTCTAATCAACATGGTTTAGATGATAATTATCCTCTAATCAACATGATTTAGAGGATACTTATCATCTAATCAACATGATGCAGAGGATACTTATCATCTAATCACCATCTAATTTCAACATAATGATGACATAATCATCCTCTAATTATCTTCGGAATATCATAATTATCTTCTAATTTGTCTTACTTAAGTGAGGTTCCCTCCTCCGCCTCCCCCCCTCCTCCGCCTCCTCCGCGTCCTCCTCCGTAACCATTTGGGCCCAATGTAGCTGCGCAGGCCCCCAATCGGGGGGCCCGCGGGGCCCGCGGGCCCGAGCCATGGCGAAGCTGATATGGGACTCGAAGGGCAACCTCGTGGACTGCGTGAAGGAGGGAAGCGCGCCCTTGCAAGACACGGCCTTGCTCTTCAGCAGGGGCACGAGGCAGAGGAGTGCAGACGAGGCAAACGAGGGCAGCCCCATGCCCGCGTGGGCGCCGACGTCCAAGGCGAAGGCGCGGAGGCCACCGTCGACGCCAGCACCTTTGCCAGCACCTTCGGCAGCACCTTCGGCGCCAGCACCTTCGCCAGCACCTTCGGCAGCACCTTCGCCAGCACCTTCGCCAGCGCCGTCGGCAGCAGCACCTTCGCCAGCACCTTCGGCGCCAGCGGCGCCGTCGCCAGCAGCGCCGTCAGCAACCCTCGGCAGCATCAGGCCACGTGGGCCAGTGAGGCCAGCGGGGCTAGCGGCCGTCGCGGCGCCGATGCCGCCGCCGCTGCAGACGACCAGGGCCGTCGTGATGCAGCCCAGGGGGACGCAGAAGGAGTTGCAGCCGACGTCGAAAGCGCAGCCGAAGGCGCCGAAGATGCCCCCTCCGCCGCAGGCGGTAGAAGCGCGGGAGCGGCGGGAGATGGCGAAGCACGACCAGAACGCGCAGCGCGACGCTAAGCCGCAGCACGACGAGAACCAGCAGCACGACGTGAAGCAGCACGACGAGAAGCAGCAGCGCGACGAGAAGCCGCGGGCCCTCGTCCAGCACGACGTGACGCAGCACGACGTGGTACTCGGCGTCAGTGAAGGTACACACGGAGAACCAGAGTACTTGGTTGGCGGGCCTCCCCAAAGGGAAAAACCATCGTCACCTGCGGAGCCGCCGCCAGCGAAGGTGGATGGGGGAAGAGAAGCAGCACGACGAGAAGAAGCAGCAGCACGACGAGAAGCCCTTGGTGCAGCCGATCGCGCAGCCGACCGTGGGGGCGGGCCTGAGCTGGGGCCTCAACCCGTTCGTGCACGTGCCACCCCCAAAGGAGGCGGACAGGGAGAAGATGTTCGGCAAGATCGGGGTGAGGAGCACCGAGCGCGCGATCTACAGGGGGATAAAGCGCAAGTACGGCCAGCAGTACGCAGATCTCCAGCAGGAGGCACGGCTTGGCACGGCTGGGCACTTGCAGATGCAGGCGATTCACTTGCAGAACAAGGAGAGGACGCTGAGCTTCGAGTACCAACGGGTTGGGGCCGCTCTAGTGCGAGTAGGAGGCGTTGCAATCGGACAAGTACCCCTGGGCAGCTCGGCATCATCGTCGGCAGCATCTTCGTCGGCGGCACCTTCGGCGCCAGCGACGCCGTCGCCGGCGCCAGCGTCAGCAACCCTCGGCAGCATCACCGTCGCCAACAGGCCATGTAGGCCAGTGCTGCCAGTGGGGCTAGTCGCCAACAGGCCATGTAGGCCAGTGCTGCCAGTGGGGCTAGTGGCCGTCGCGGCGCCAGCGCCTTCGCCAGCAGCACCTTCGCCAGCAGCACCTTCGCCAGCAGCACCTTCGCCAGCGGCACCGTTGGCAGCAGCACCGTCGGCAGCGGCACCGTCGGCACCAGCGTTGTCCAAGGCGGCCTCGTGGACAGGGCCCGCGCCATTTACGCCTTCGACGACGGCGCCGTCCGATTGGCCGCCGTGGGCTGATGCGCCGATGCGGGCCGACGAGTTTGCGGACATAAGTGATCAGACGGCCGATCTCCTGCTGAGGTTCGTGGCGCTGAGGGGCGCGAATCCCGCTGCGCCGTGGAGCGAGTCCGACGGGGGCAGTGCGGCGACGCCAGACCAGTGCGAGGTCGCCGCTTCAGACCCGTACCAGGTCGCCGAGCCCGAGCCTGACGCTTGAGGCAGGCCGGAGAAAAAACTTGAAGAACAAACAAAGAAAAAACTCCACGAGCGTGGAGGTGCCATCAATGTCACAAACACCATCACCATCATCATCACCACCATCATCGTCATCATCGTCATCATCATCATCGTCATCATCATCATCATCAGCATCATCGTAATCACCATCATCACCATCATCAGCACCATCGTTACTTACCACTACGATCCATCGTCATCGTCCTCTCGCTTCCTCCTCATGCTCCGCCTCCTCTGTCTCTCCGCAGCCGCGTGACCCTCAGGCATTTTTGCCATTTTGGCAACTGGTGAGAGCGGCGGCCCGACGATGGCGTCAGCGCTGCGCCCGAGGCGCCCGCGACCTAGGGAGTCGCAGTTCGTCCGCACGACCCTCGCCGACAAGTGGGGCGCGAAGGCGGTCCTCAAGGACCCTGGCTTCGCGTGGGGCGGCTCGGGGTACGGGAGCTCGCGGACGCAGGCCATCGACGAGACGTCCATGTTGCCTTACGCCGAGGTTTTGAAGACACTCCTCGAGGTTGCACCCTCGGGGTTTCCAGCGCAGAAGTGCTTGAAGGATGCCTTCCAGGAGCTGGACAAGAGGCACGGCATCCTCGCGTACGATATGCGCTTCCAGGAGAGGGCGGCCAGCCTGGCAGCAGACGCCTGGCGGGTCATGGCGAAGCACCTCTACAACGCAGCCCAGGCGGAGAAGGCTCTGAGCAACGAGGTGCTTCAGCAGCTGGTGAAGATGATCGGGCTTCCCTCTGCAGAAGATGATGGCGGTGCAGCTCTTGCCAGTGGCGGCTCCTTCGAGGACTCGCCGTCGTTCGCGGCGGCGGCGGGCCCCGTGGAGGGCGAGGCCGCCGACGTGAGCGCGTCGGCGGTCAGGGCGCTCTTCCCCCCCAGCATGGGCGAGGCGGCGGAGGGCGATGGCAGTCGCGAAGCAGCTAAGACCGAGGTCGAGTTCTCCGACGACGACGTGGAGCTCTGCGGAATGACGTGCAATTGCAAAGCGTGCCGCGACGCACGCACCGTCGACCTCACGGCCGAAGAGGGCGGCGGCGAGCGGGTCCCGATCCCGAACGCGGCCATCGGGGGCCAGAAGCGCGATACCAGGACCGCCCAGACGGCGCTGAAGGGCGACAAGAGCAAGGGAAAGGGCAAGGGCGACGGGAAGGGCAAGAGCAAGAGCAAGACGAAGAGCCAGGCGAAGGGGAAGAGCAAGGGAAGGGGAAGGGCAAGCACAAGGCGAAGAGCCAGGCGGGCAAGGGCAAGGACGCGCGAGACGGTCGCGGCGATCCTGAAGCCCCCGAAGAAGGCCAAGTCGCCCCCGAAGCAGGAGGATGAGGCCGAGGTCGAGAGCGGCAACATCACCCTGCCCGCAACGGTCACCGTGAGGGGGCCGAACGGGAAGAGGCGTGGCGAGGCCTACTTGCTCGACGGCAACAAGAAGTACATCATGGGCATCACCGGCAGGAGGACCGAGGAGTACAAAGAGGTCGTCGAGCGCGCCGCGGAGAAGATCAACGGCACCATCCTGAAGACGAAGGACGACCTCAGGATGTGGTTCGACCAGCAGATCGGGTTCGACACGTCATGAGGGGCCTCAGGAGGCGCGGCTGGAGTTGGACCTGCTACGCGTTGGGACGATGTGGAGGGCCCAGCCAACTAGAAAATTGAAAACCACAATCCTCCACGAGCGTGGGGTTCCCATCGTCATCTCATCCTCTTATCCTCTTAATGCTATCCCCACGTCGTCGTTATATCATCCTCATCCTCATCTTCATCCTCATCCTCATCATCGCACCGATCCTCATCGCAATCATCATCATCGTATTCATCCTCATCCTCGCCATCACCCCGATCCTCATCATCATCATCATCATCATCATCCTTGGAGCTGCCCTGGCTCAAGCAAGGCGCGGTTTTCAGATCTCCGTCCAGGAGACAGATGCCCCCGAAGAGGGCTACGGCTACCAAGTCCGCCTCCCCCGCGAAGCACAGGGGGCCGATGGGCCACTGCCTCGAGAAGATGCAAGCAGCAGCGCGCGCAGGCACCACGGCAGCGCCCGTGAAAGCGGAGCCCGTCGACAGCAGCGGCGGCTCCAGCGCGCCTGCCGCGGCAGCGGTGGTTCCTGCCACCGGAGACACCGACGGTCCCGCGGTCAAGGTAGCCAAGAGGGAGGGCGACAGGGTTCGCGACGAGGAGGCGCCCGCGCTAAAGGAGCCCAGGATCCGCCCAGGAGCCCAGGCCGACGCCTCCGAGTGGGTCCACGACTGGATCGGATCCGATAAGACGGCCTACAACGCCTTCATGTACCGCCTGCGCAAGCAGGGCCAAGAGAGGAAGGCCAAGTGGAAGGAGATCCAGAAGTTCGGCTGCGCGATGGACGCGGAAAATTTCGTGGACGAGATCATGCGCACGACGACGAGGCAGTCCGCGGAGTTCAACAACACGCTGACCCGCAACGAGACGCTCAAGGAGTGGACTACCTTCAAGAAGGCGCTGGAGAAGTACGACGAGGACGTGCTGATGGCCATGATCAGGGCCAGAACCTTGGAGACCAAGCGCGACCCTGCCATCCCTGAGTCCCTGCTGGTGCCGTGGCCCAAGTACTTGCAGGTGCGGCTGCACTCGGAGAGCGAGCGCGATCGTCACGGCAAGGGCTTGCAGCTCACGGACAACACCAATCTGGGCGACGACGCCTACGACGAGAAGTACGCCGAGCAGAGCCGCGGTCACAACCAGCAGCAGGGGGGCCAACAGCAGCAGCAGCCGCCCCAGCAGCAGCAGTCGCTGCAGACGGAGCCATCGGTCGAGAAGGCGAAGATGCCCGAGGCCGCGGCCGTCGCCGTGAAGGCCGTGCGCGCGGCGCACGGATACATCGACAGGCTCGTTCGCGAGCTCGAGGCGGCCATCGAGTCCAGCTCGAAGAACGAGAACAGCAAGGGGTGCAATATCGAGAATGACCTGGACGCGATGAGGGGCACCCTTGCGGCGAAGGACAAGGAGCTCCTGACGTTCGAGAAGAAGTGCGTGAGCTCGAACGGAGCGGGCATCACTGGCAAGGAGATCCAGACGGCGGCGGACCTCGCCAAGGAGATCGACGACGCGATCAAGAACGGCCGCAAGAAGCTGGCGGCGCTCAGGTCGCTGTGGAAGCTCTGAGGGGCCACGGGTGGCTAAAGGGGGGGAGCGCGGGGTCGTTCGCCTTCCCCCCTCGCCTCTTCCAGAGACGAGGGGGTCGGGATGGGTCGATATCGCGCGGGGCGCGATTGATAGCGCGCCGAGCACTGGAAAGTAGAAACCTCCTCCGCGAGCGCGGAGCGGCCGTCCTCCTCCTCCACCCCTCCCTCCTCCTCCTCCTCCTCCTCCTCCTCCTCCTCCTCCTCATCTTAATCTCATCTTAATCTCATCTTAAATTTAAGATGAGATTAAGATGAGATTAAGATGAGGTCGTTACTGATTGATTCGATCACAAAAGGCTCATCTTAATATCATCTTAACCTCATCTTAAATTTAAGATGAGATTAAGATGATATTAAGATGAGCTCCGTCGCCCTCGACGGCGACGGCGACGGGCTCCGTCGCCCTCGACGGCGACGGCGACGACGACGGCGACGGCGACGACGACGGACGACGACGGCGACGGCGACGGCGACGGCGACGGCGACCGACGACGACGACGACGACGCCGACGACGACGACGACGGACGACGACGACGACGGGCGACGGCGACGACGACGACGACGGACGACGGACGACGGCGACGGACGACGGCGACGGCGACGGCGACGACGACGGACGACGACGGCGACGGCGACGGCGACGGTGACGGCGACGGACGACGACGACGACGACGGGTGACGACGACGACGACGGGCGACGACGACGACGGGCGACGACGAGGAGGAGGAGGAGGAGGAGGAGGAGGATGGGAGGGATCACCCCGCGCTCGCGAGGGATTTTTTTTTGCGAAAAACATTGTGTTTCGCCAGCCTGGGCGTCGAGAGGCTGCGCCCGCGGCCGCGCGCCCGAGAGGGCGAAGGCTGCCCTCAGCGGTGACCCTGTGCGGCCACCGCGGCAGCGTAGCGCCTCAGAACCTCTGCGGCCCTGGGCGCGATCCGCCGCTCGGCGCGGCCGCGACGCCCTCGTCGTTCCCCTCCTGGACCCAGCTCTTGTTCGTGCTGCTGGCGCTAGGCGTGCTGGGCTGCTTCGCCAAGACGCGGCCCTGGGCGAAGCCCTTGTTGTATCCAGCCTTCCAGCCGCTGTCGTAGCCCTTGTCGTGGCCCTTGTCGGAGCCGCGGTCGAAGCCACGGCCGTAGGCATCCTGAAAGTCCGTCTTCTCGTCGACGCCGCTGGGCGCCAGGTGCGAGCCAATCTTCTCGTTCGGCTCGTCGTTGTCCGCGTAGTAGCCGTCGCCCTTGGGATCGCTTTGGTAGAGGTTCTCGCTCTCGCTCCTCAGGGGCTTCGTCGTCCGAGCTTTGAGGACGTGCTGCGGCCAATCCACGAACACCATCGTGCGGCCCTTCTCGTTGATCACCCACGTGTCCTCGAGCTCCTCGCCCCGCTTCCTCGGTGGGTAGGAGCGCTCGTCCGCCTCGTAGAGGTGGGTGCACTCGATGGGCACGCCCTCGAGCCACTCTGGCATCCCCTCCTTCAGGGCCTTCCTCACCTCGGGCACGCCTGGGCACTGCCGCGCCCACTCCCCCACCGCCGTGAGCTCGCACATGAAGGGGATCCACAGGTCTGGGCCGTCCAGCCACAAGTGGCGCTCCATCTTCTCGCGCACCTGCGAGCGCTCGGAACTCATGTAGGTGATCCCGTAGCGCGGCACCCAAGGTTGAGGCGCCTCCTCCGTGGGCCTCGCCCCTGCCGATGCTGCTGCGGGCGCCTCCATCTCGGAGGTGTTGCTGGCGAAGGTGCTGCTGGCGAGAAGGTGCTGCTGGCGAAGGTGCTGCTGGCGAGAAGGTGCTGCTGGCGTCGGTGGCGCCGATAAGGTTTGCGCCAGAAACGGCCATGGGGGAGGAGGGGGAGTTGGATTCGAATGAAGTGGGTGGCGACGGCGAGCGACGATGGTGATGACGGTGATGCTGATGATGTTGGTGCCGATGATGATGGCGATGATGATGGTGATGGTGATGGTGATGATGATGGTGACGATGTTTGCGATGGTGGTGGTGATGCTGGTGATGATGAGGGTGATGATGATGCCGATTATGATGGCGATGATGATGGTGATTCCTGTCCTCCTTCCCCTCCTCCTCCTCCTCCTCCTCCTTCCCCTCCTCCTCCTCCTCCTCCTCCTCCTTCCCCCCCTCCTCCTCCTCCTCCTACTCCTCCTCCTCATCCTCCTCCTCCTCATTCTCTTCTCTTCTCCTCCTCCTCCTCCTCATCATCATCAGCATCATCATCATCACCATCAGCACCAGCATCATCATCATCAACAACAACATCAACATCATCATCATCATCAGCATCATCACCATCATCAGCATCATCATCATCCGCATCTCATCAATCATCATCAATCATCATCATCCTTCCCCTCCTTCCTCCTGCTCCCTTTCCTCCTCCTCAGCCTTTCCCTCGTTCTCCTTTGCGTTTTATCTTCTTCCTCCTCTTCTCCTCCCTTCCTCCCGCCCCCATCCTCCTCCTCTTCCTCCTCCTTCCCCCCCCTTCCTCTCCCTTTCCCTCCTCCTCCTCCTCCTCCCTCGCTCCTCCGCAATCCTCCTCCCCTCATCCCTCTCCTCTCCTCTCCTCCTCCTCCTCCTCTCCTCCCCCCCTCCTCCTCCTCTCCTCCGCCCCCGTCCTCCCCCCCCCGCCTCCATCATCCTCCTCCTCTATACTCCTCCGAACCTTCCCTTCCTCCTCCTCCTCCTTCTCTCCTGCTTCTTCGCTTCTCCTCCTCCTCCTCCTCAAAACCTACTCCTCCCTGCCTCCTCCTCGCTCCTCCTCCTCCTCCTCCTCTCCTCCATCTCCTCCTCCCCCCCTCCATCCTCCCCCATCCGTCACCTCACTCCCTACTGCTCCTCCTCCTCCTCCTCCTCCTCTTCTCCTCCCCTCCTCCTCCTCCCCCCCCTCCTCCTCTCTCTCCTCCTCTTCCTCCCCCTCGTCCTTCTCATCCTCCTCCCTCCCCCTTTTCTCCCCTCCTTTTTCTCCCCTCCTTCTCCCCCTCCTCCTCCTCCCCTCCTCCTCCTCCTCCCTCTCCCCTTCCTCCTCCTCCTCCCCCTCTCCTCCTCCTCTCCTCCTCCTCCTCCTTCCTCCTCCTTTCCCCCTGTCTCTCCATCCTCGCGCGGCTAGCCTACGTCTTGCGACGTCCGTTCGTGTCGATGCCTGGAGGGCAACGGCCCCAGACGCCCTCGAGTCCTTCTCCTCTCTCCTCCGCCTCCTCCTTCCTGCCTCCTCCTCCTCGTCCTCCTCCTCCTGCTCCTCCCTCCTCCTCCTCCTCCCTCCTCCTCCTCCTCCTCCTCCTCCTCCTCCTTCTCCTCCTCCTTTTCTTACCCTCGCAGGCTATGCGTGGCATGGCATGGGATAGCGATGGCAACCCCACGCTCGTGGGTTTTTTTTATAAAAAAAATCAATTTTTTTTCATTTCGAGGCCCGTGACCTCAAGTGTCCAGTTCGAAGCGCAGCAGCAAGCCCGTGACCTGCTTGATGAGGACGACCTTCTGCACGGTCTGCCTGCACCGCCCATTCTTCGAGCCCCTCCACGTGCCAGTCACCGAGCCCATCATGGACTCCTCGCTGTACACCTGGACCCTCACGGGGTTGATGCACGATGTCAGCAGAGGGATGTGCTGGACCTCGTGCACCTTCGGGGTGACCGCGAAGGCGAAGACCCCAGCGCGGCGCGACAGCTCGCGCAGGCGCTGGCATGCGCTGCCAAACGCCAGGCACAGCTGTCGCACGCGAACCACCGTCGCATCGGGCGGGAACATCGGCGCGTCGTACAATAGCGTGTAGAGGTCGTCCAGCGCGGCGGTTAGTCTTCGCAGCTGCTGGTCGCGATCATGCATGGACCCGCAGTAGTGGAAGACGACGTCCCTGAAGAACGGAGCCGCGCACCTGACCTTCGCCGCCTAATACGCTGGCCCCGCGAGGTTCCCCCACCCGTCCCCGGTGCAGTTGGTGAGCATGATCTTCGGGAGACGATTGGACCCTGGCCTGGCGTCGTAGAACTGCTCCCGTCGGGCGTTGATGGCTTCGAGGCGCTCCTCCTTGTTCGCCCCGACTCGGGCGTCGGCCAGCAGCCACATCATCGCGGAACCAAAGACAAGGAGCGTCACGCCCTTGCACTCGAGGAGGTGCATGATGTCAATGGGGAAGAAGAAGCGGTGGCAGAAATGCGCGTTCGCCACCAGCGGGTGGTGGGGCTCCCGCGCCCTGGCCTTGTACACGTCGAAGCTCATCCCCTCGCCTCGCCGCCAGGCGGCGCCCTCCGTCATATCAGTGAAAGGCCGCGTCGTGCGGTTGGCGAGGCAGTCGGGGCACACCTCATTGCCCCCTGAGAAGTGCGTCAGGCCAAAATCATTTGCGCGCACGTCCTCATCGCACTTGACGAATACCAGCGCGCCTCTCCAGAGAGTGCCGTCGGAGTCGCGCGCAACCGCTCTGCCCCCGACATGGCCCGAGCCCAGCGCGGCCATGTCCTCGAGCACACGGTGCCACCAGAGGGAGTCATCCATCTGGCCAGACCGCTGCACGTAGGAGGCGCACATGAACTTGGTCAGCTTGGCCTCCCCGACGCCGACGAGGGACCCGAAGCTGACGACATAGCACGCAGACGTCTTCGAGTAGGGCCCCGCGTCAGCATGCATCGTGAGGGGGATCACCGTCTCGAGCTCGTCGATGCCCATGCCACCAATGATGGGGTGGTTGGCCCTGAGGTCAGCATTTGCGGGCCTGCTCAAGAAGTCCCGCCAGAAGCCGCGCAGCTTGGTCTTCTCCGCGCCGAGGCGCAAGCGGAACTCGTGCGGGTAGGCGCGCAGCAGCGAGAACCATGAGCTCGGGAGCACACCGTGGGAGACGAACTCCCCAGGAAACGCGGATAGAATCCGCGGCACGCCAGTGGTACCCAGCAGCTCAATCAGTGAAGCCTGCGCGTTCTGGCCTTCGCGCAGCTGCGCCATGCGGGCAAGCATGGGGTGCTCGAGCCCGTCGGCGGCGCCGCTCGCCGCGAGGTGCTGGAGCCTTGCGGCAGACATCCCGCCTTCGCACCAAGAGAGCAGGTGGTTCCCGAAAAGACGGGAGATGCCGCGGTCCTCGTCCGCCGCGGCAGCGTCCGCTTCGGCGGCCACCAGTTGCTGCCTCCATCCGCCGCGGCGCCTCGGCTGCGGCGGCGCCAGGGTCGCCCAGAGGGCGCGCAACATGCCGAGCCTGCCCCCCTCGCGCCCCGAGCTTGCGAGCCAAAACGGCTTGATACGGCGCGGGAACGATCAGCGGTGATTTCGCCCAGTAGCTCAGTTAGACTAGGAATCTAATTCGTTAGGTTTATGTTGATTATCCTCTAAATCATGTTGATTAGAGGTGGAGGGGGCGGGGCCTCCTCCTTGCCCCTGCTCGAGCAGGGGCAAGGAGATGGCGATGGTGCTGCGATGGTGAAGGGGGCGGTGGAGGACAGGACAGCTGATGATGACGATGGCGGTGCGACGACGATGAGGCAGGCAGGTCGCGAAGGAGGAAGGCGAGGAATATGGAGAAGGGGGACATGATCAGGAGGATTGGGAAGAGGAGAGCGAGGGGGAGGGGGAAGGGGAGGAGGAGGAGGAACAAAGAAGATACTTGTGATGAGGAGGAAGGGGAAGGAGAGGATGAGGAGGAATAACAAAATGGTTATCTTAGAGGATAATTAGAGAATAATTAGAGGATAAAATTATAGAATATAATTAGAGGATAATTAGATGATAATTAGAGGATAATTATCTTCTAGCAGACATATTATATGATAATTATCCTCTAATCAACATGATTCAGAGGATACTTATCCTCTAATCAACATGATTTAGATGATAATTATCCTCTAATCAACATGATTTAGAGGATAATCAACATAAACCTAACGAAATATAATCCTAATCTAATTGAGCTACTGGGAAACGTCGTGATGATGGACTACGGTGGGAAGGTGACCACGCACCTTCTGGAAGGAGCCCGCTCCGGGGAGGGCTCACCTCAGGCCTGGATGTTGATCCACCGGGGGCACGCCCGCGCCCTCCGCCCCCGAACGCCGACCTCGGGAGAAGCGGGAGGGGATGCGTGCCTGGGAGGCCACGGTCATGAATGGCTGGGAGGAGTTCCTCAACCGCGACGCCCGAGGCACGGAGGTCTCCTGGAGCACCTACGTCAAGTGCCAGGCATGCGAGGAGCGCCCCGCGGCGAGGGAGGCGGCCCTCATGGCTGGCCGGAGGGCTGCAGCGGCAGAGCCTGCCCGGGCACCCGCAATCAGGGCCGCCCTCCAGCTGTGGGAGGAGCTCGTCTCGGAGCACCTCGGAGCTTTGGGGGGCACGCCCGCTTTCCGCTGGGGACCCCGCTTCAAGGAGGTGTTCGCGGGAACCGCGGGGGTGGCCCGCGCGGTGGAGCGGCTGGGCATCCAGGCGGATGAGCCCGTGGAGCTGTACCGGAACCCCCTGCACCCCAAGGAGTCGGAGAGGAGGGAGGACCACGACCTCTCGAACCCCGACGTCGCCGAGGCCCTGGTCAAAGAGGCAGATACTCCCCCGGGCCCAGGAGTGGCCAACGTGTGGATGTTCGAAAACCCGTGTACCTCCTTCTGCGACCACAACACCAAAGGGGGCGCCCGCACCTGGGAGAAGCCGGAGGGGACCGGTGTAAACGGCAAGGAGGTCTTGGGAAACGCCCTCTCCCAGACCACGGTAAGGTGCATACGGAACCTTCACAAATGGAGGAAGGGATGGATCTTCGAGAACCAGGAGCATAGAGGGATATATCCCAAGGTATACGACCTCCCGGAGTGGTTGGAAATCCTGGAGGAGACCGGTGCCGTGATCATCCCGGGAACGATGTGCGCCTGGGGCCTCCATCCCTCAGACGCTTCGTCCCCCGACCAGTTCTATCGCAAGGGGTGCTGGCTGGTCGTCTCCGCGAACCTGGCCCCCTTCTTCACGAAGCTCCGGAGACCCTGCCCCGGTCTCTCTCCGGTGCACCAGCACGTGGAACTCAGGGATAACGTCCCAGGGACGGGCATCAAACGGACAAGGGAAGCCGCCCAATACCCCCCGCGCTTCGCCCGCGCCGCGCCGCTGGCCATTTGGACGGCCACGAAACACCCACCCACCACGCCCTCGAGGGGGGGGGGGCCACGGGAGATGGTAAACTCAGGCCCTCAGGAGAGGGAGGGGACGATGGGGGAGGGAGCCAACCCTGGATGCCTCCCCAACGGGCAGCTGGCAGCCTGGGAAGCGGGACGGAATCGGGGAACCAGGCGCCGGGGAGAGCGGGCCGAACCGCTCAGGACTGGGCGCAGGAGCTGTGCACCCATTGTGCGGACAACCCCAAGTACTCCCCCGAAGTTACGAAGGAGGGGGCCCGACTCGGTGATGGCCTAGTCCAGGCGGCGGGAGGCTGGAAGGAAGCAGTCGACTGCTACCGAGAGGCCTGGACGAGCCGGTGGGGGAACAACCTGGACGGGGTTTTCAAGGAGGAGCTATGCGAGCTGCTCGACCCCGACCTCAGGGATTACCTCCACCAGATGGTGAAGGGCGGGGTTCCCGCCCGCCAACCGCTGGCCCAGGTTCGGGCCCCCTCCAAACCGCACATGAGCGTGCAGGGGCACATGGAGGAGCCGATGGA